GAAAGTGCAAAATCTTGTTTGACAATGTTTGATAGTTCTCAATCCTTCGTTTTCTTCAATGATGCATCATGCAGAAAGTAAAGAATGAAGAAAGTAAAGATACTTTGCAATATTTCACAAATTGTAAAAGTTCAAACATCTTCAAAAATGGTAAAAGATTTTTTCTCGTAACTAGACTCGCCGCCATTTTGAAGTCTTGCCCTGGCCGAACAAGCATCTTTCTTCATCGTTTTATTGGACTTTGAATGTTACGGTTAAAATTAGAAAAAAGGAAGAGATTCCAACATTTCCATCTCTGATGTTCAAGATTCGATAAAACGGTGAAGAAAGATCATACAGCAAGTTTTAAAGGATTGTTACAAAAAAGGCATTTCAATCTTAAAGATCATGGTAGACTTACTCGCGACGAAAATTTTCTAATATTTCTTTTTTTTCTGTAATTGTTATGTTCCGGTGTTGTGGAAAATTATGTTGTTCAGAAAGAATTAGAAGAAATGGTTTTAACAATCAGTTAATATTTTAAACAGTAAAACTATTTACGTCATTTGTTACTTTATATCAATTGTGTTAATACTAATTTAAAGTGTCATTATCTTTCACAGAAGATTGTATCCTACGTAATCATTTAATTAACTATATTTTTACAGTTACAGAGATATATGTTATAACGTTCGTAGACGTTGAAATCATGATATTTTCATTCCGCGTACACATGATGACTTAATTATCCGTAATTCTCGTGGATGACTCCCTCATAAGTGTGAAGTACGACAACGTCGAGCTCATAAGCTGTAACGAGAAGTTTTGATATAATCTCAAAATTTATTTATTATGCGTTGAGATGTTTTGAAGTATATTTGCAGAATAAGTGGTAAATATAATGAAATGGAAAATATAATATCTGTATAATCTATCAGATTGCAAATATTTAAAACAATATTTGAAACAGAGAAAAACAGGATATTTTGATATTTGATTGTAAGCTGAAATTAATCTTTTAATTAAAATTATGCTAATGTTAAAATATTGATGATATTTTGTTTAAGAAAATATATAGATAAAACGAAAATTATGCTATATGATAATTGCTATATCGTAAAAATAATTTTTGAATAGAATTACATTTTGTTAATTGAAGAAACGACGTAATTGAAAATGATATTTATGTTTTACATTATCAACGTGCATTCATTCACAATTCTAGTCAAAATGAAACTCTAAAATTCTCAGTAAGATATATTTATATCTTACATATAGCTTAGTGTCACATGAATCAAAATCAGTGACATAATTACTCGCTGTCGGTTAAATTATGAAAATAAATGAATAAACTTTTCATAACTGGCTGCGTCTCACATTTTTCGAAAATAATTCGCATTTCTTGAATCACATTACTGTATGCAATAAATTGAATAAAACTTATTTTGATTATAATATCAATTAGAAAAATTTTCACGTACTTCTCCACGGTAATTATACATTCACGCAGTCTCAGCAAGTAATATCTTTTGCTGATTGAAATTAAAAAAAATATATATATATTGTAGGAAAAGAATGAATGGTAGACTATATATTCATAGTCGTATTTTTTGTACAAGTGAATTTACATTTCACAATGGTACTATTTTTTTTTTTTTTGGATAGAAATATTTTTTACATACAACAAATTTTTCATTCATTCCGTCTAAAAAAATATGGTCAAAAGTTGACGAATATAAAAAGTATCTCAAATTCAATGTTTTGTTGAACTTGTCTCATACATTATTTTACAGTGTAAATTTAAAAAAATTACGATTAAAGTACCTTTTATCTAGACATTTCTACATCATACTATCGTAATACATTTTTACATTAAATATCAAAGGAATTCCATGAATTCGAAAAAGGTGTACGTTGCAGCATTTTGCAAAGAAAGTATATTATCGTTTGTATGTACTTTTATTTTCCCGACTTTTTCATACTAAAAGCACCATCGATTTCCTCAAAATCAGCTTAACGTTAACTAATATATAAATTAGTATATATGAAATGTTTGAAATCGCCACTGTTCTCTGAAATATTTGAAATTTACAAGTTAGATCGCGTACCGCAGTAGATGTTTCCAAAGACACAGGGAAGAATCCACCGGCTGACAGATAACACGGCCGTGTCGACTTCATCATCATTATATTCACGTTCTTTCGTATCATTTTGCCAGTTTCAGTCATTGGTAAAATCGTCCACCAGCCTGAATACGTTGCAAAGCTTACTTTCGTACTTTCCTCTATCAATCCGTGACAAGTATACGTGAAGAAAATTATGTGGACAAAGCTACCCATCACGGTGCAAACGAAAATGAGACGCGTCGTAGTAGGTACGTCTGCCTGTATACATAATACAGCAACAGTTATATTTTACATTTAAATGAATTAATATTGTAGTATTAATGTCAGCGAATTTGACTGTCTTATGTTTATTGACTATCGAAAGAAGTAACAATTTTAATTATAAAATCATTCAATTAGTAGAAATTTATACAAATAGAATTCTATTTATATGAACTTGATAGATAAAAAATTTATATATATATATATATATATATGATTTTTTATTCGTATGATGAAAACTCAAGTCAAATAATTGAATTCAGCTATCAAGAGCAATATAGCAA